ATTTCTTTCAACCACCAGGGAAAACTTACACCAGACAGAGGTGACGATCATTCTTCCAGTCAAACACATGGAGAACAACACACCTTCCAGTTCCTGCCTATACCTGGGCTTGGGGTACAACCTGAAAATTGCATGTATAAACCATGGGCCATCTATTTCAATGCCCATAGCTGAGGGCAATGACGGTGCACAATTCATTACTAAAGTGATGGTGATGGAGCAAAATTGAACTTCAAGATACTGAGGCCGAAATCACACGAACGAAGACTTCAAATTATAGAGCAAAAGGGCTAACTGGGGTGGACTTAGACATACATTTTGAAGGCAATATAAATTGCGGATATATGTCCAACATGCAGCATCTATTTTTGTTTCTAATGATTTAACTAGTGAGTATATGTACGTAAATGTACTGGATACGAATCCACTGGATACAACCTCTTTTTTTTTTTTTATGATTTCACTAGAACATATATTGTAGCTAAATGTAAAGGAGGTAGTTTTCATTGAAAGGTGGTGCCTAAATGGAGACAGTTTTAGGTTGAAAAGATGCGAAGTTGCTAGTCAATGAAGGCATTATTTTCTCTATCCGTTCACTAAATGGAGGCAGTTGTTGGTTTACTTTCTACTCTTGTCTTCGTTCTGTGGTGTGGTTATTTTGTCAGTTATAGTACTCTTGTTTTTATCCCTTTACTAATGGAGGCAGTTATTGTATTCTTGAAATTCCAGTCCTTAGTCCGTTCTTTATTCTGTCAACTATATATATGTAGGAGCTATTTTGCATCTAATTGTTGTAGAAGAGATGCATTCGTGCTTTCGGCCTAAGGAGGATTAAGATTTCAAAGGGATGCAACTTTGGTAAGGAAAATGAGAGTGAACAAGCAATTGACTTGAAATGCCACAAAAATGATACAACAATCGAACTATTTCTTGCGTGTTTATATATAGAAAGTGAACTGCTGGTAATTTATAGAAACCCTGCAATGCCCCTAAAAGATATGGCAAACTGCTAAAATGAAAACAAGCTAAACAGCTTGGAACATAACTAAACTTATATCGTAAAGATGAAAGTTAAATGCCTATTAGAAACTGAAAAACATGTACATTTTCCCCCGTGGATTTTCCAGAGGTTGGTTTTTGGTTTCAAACCATAAACCAGCTCAATAGAAAAGGTTTTTAAATGTGTGCAATAGTTGGATTAGAAATTATAAGTTAAATGTGTACAAAATTGAATACAATGTTAAAGTTCACAATATATTTCTATAAGAAGGTTTAGTTGAGGTGTCATTTTATATCTAATGCACCCTAATAGATTTATGAGTATATTCGAAACAATAATTAACATACTGAATGCATAAAATGATCAACCAATTTTTGTGGAACTGAAACTATTATCAAAGGATGTCAATAATGACAAGTTTACCTTCATGGGTTTATTAAACTTGGTCCCAAATGCAAAACAAGATGCCCCACCACCAATGAGTATTAGACTATCACTGACAACATTTACTGTACTATGAACAAAGACAAATTCACCATTATATGCTACCAAGTATAAGATTGAAGATCAAATAAGGATAATTTCTGCAGGTATTTACAAAATTGACAGTCATCCAACCAAAATCTAATGGCTGCTTCCAATAACATGGTTGGTCAAGCCTTCAAATTCTAATGTTTAGAAAATCAATAGTAGTCAGTCAACCAAAGAAACATAGTCTAGTCCTAATATAAGCTCAACATAAAACTAACAACCTTTAGAACAAACATCCAATATTACAACTAAAATGATTATGCGACAAACACACATAGTATTCAACTTGAAGTCGTAATAACACACATAACAACCACTGAACGAAAAATGCATCGTATCATACATGACCTAAAAATTAAAAAAACTAGTGATTCTTGTCAGGCACATGGGAAGAATAGATTCACTTCACTTTTGTTCCCCATTCTCCTCGATCTCTCATTTTTCCCTTGTGCATGGTTATATTGAAGGTTATCTCGATGTCCTTTTGTTCGATAATTCCACCGCAATGTTCCAACATACTCAACAACTCATTAGTTGGAGGTATTGAACTACATTTTCCCATACAAATGCATCTTGATCCACATTCGTCTTTCGCACCACTTGAATAACCTTCATCTTGTAATAATATCCTAATGTTTGCCCAAACCTTACTCCATGTGAAAAACCTGCAATCTCTACTGCAACAAATGAATAGCTTTCCTATGTTTTTGGTCTTTTTTCTACTTTCATCCACCTCAAAAAGCCTAAAGAACAATTTTGACATCGTTGCTTTTTTGGGCAATCCCACAGTTGGTGGCCTGGATGCCTACAACTTTGGCAAATTCCCTTGTTCTTTCCTACATAGTAAGCAAATAATGTAGTAAATGATATACATAATAATATCCAATACTACATTACTGAAAGATAAAAAATGATTATCTCGCAATGTGTCTGCATGATCCTCGCAATGTGTCTGCACGATCTAACAACTACAACATATTTTGTTTTCACAACCCACAAGCATTTTCTTTAAGTCGTATTTATAGCAGTACACAATATCACAATGTATCTCAAAGTAAATCCTTTTTCCCCAGTATGCAAAACTTTTCACTCCTACAAAATTTGGTGAACCCTTTTTTCCTCAGTAGTTTTCGACTTCAAATCTCCACATTCTAATAACTTAACTAACATATGTGAAAAGGTCTCTTTTGTTACCTTCAAATAGACAACAAGCCAGTGAATGTGTTATAGTTAAGAAACAAAAATTCGAATTACCTCTATTCCTTGTAACCATGTCACCGATTTCAACACCCACTCTTTGCGAATCCAAGCTTCATGGTGACGGTTTGGCCTTCGAACTTGATAGATTTTTAATTTATGGACTAGGTTCGTCTACAAATTTTAATTTTGCGTTTC